CGCAAGCCAAGGCCGAGTGGGTCGCGGGCGTCCCGTTCACGGGGAGGCCTGGAGGTCGCGCACACATTGCCTCTCGCCTCCCGCGTGTATATACCCCCTTCACCGTGGGTATATTTATACAAAGCCTCCCGGAGCATTTTCGCTTCGAACGGGTACGACTACTCCGCGGCTGCGCCTTTTTAGAGTGATAACAACAACCAACCCCCCTCCCCGCGGGTGCGGGTCTCCCTCCCGGCAGTGTTCACACCGCCTGGGTCCCCTGCATCGCCCCGCTGCTCCGCGCTTTCCCCCTGTGCCGCGGACACCCACAAGGCTGCGTCCGTGCTCTGCAGACCGCGGCCGGACCCCCCGACGGCCGAGGGGTTCCCCCGTGCCCAGCGGTTTTCCCCCGGCCACCCGGCCCTGGGCCGCAGCCGGTGGCGGAGGGGAGGGGAGGGGAGGGGGCGAGCTCCGCCAGCCCAGCCGCACCGAGGGCTGATCCCCCCCCTTTAGCAGCGCCTCGGACAAACGGTCACGGTCTGCGGATGGAGGATTTTTGGTGGGGCACGCAAGAAAAGAATAATAATTAAAAAGTATTAAAGCGCTGTTATGACAAGGGATTTTTGTATTACTCGGAAGTATTTTTTTTTTCCTTACAGTGATTCACTGGGAGGCTTGCTGGTACATCTGAATATTAGTTCACACATCTTGCAGAGGGCTGGGAACCTTTACATAAGCTGCCAGTTTTCCTTCCACCTCGGAGGTTTTTTTCTTTGGCATCGCTAACTGCGGCACATTCAAGAAAAGGGGTTTTATTCTCCATTTTCGGTCTCTATATTCGGCGGCGAGCGGGAAAGGGAATGAGAAGGCAAAAATTCCAGACCAAGGGTTCCTTCCACTGTGACCTTGTGCTGACTGGTTTTTTTCTGCTTTTGTAAAAATAAATAAAAATAATTCTTTAATTATTATTTTTTTTTAATGGTCGTGACAGGACAAATTGTAAGTCCCAACACTGCCCCGCTGCTTTTTTACAATTTGGCGAAGGTCCGAACTGCTTTTCGGCTTCACCACCACCACCTTCCGACCCGGTTTTTAATTCCTCCTAAAGTACCGCTCTTTACAGTGACCACGGAATCACTTCTTGAAAACGAATTAAATAAATAAAAACTTTTAAAACCACGCGGCAATGTAGGGAGATGATATCTATGGAAGTACTTAATCCACTAGTTACAGACTAATGATCCATACATCGGTTTAATGTGTATGTCAAGCGTTTTGTGCGCGCAGGTACGGAAAGATAACATCCCCCCTCTGCTCGTCTCCTGTCTTATCGGGGGTCATTACAGCTTTGTTCATTTAAAAGGGCAGCTCCAGCAGTAAATAACCGAGCATCTTCCAACCTTTTCTTTCACAAGCGTCCCCACCGGTTGCAGCGAACAAAGCAAAGGGCAAGGTGGGTTTTGCTTTTGCTCCCAGGCACGCCCAAGGGAAGCTCAGCCCAGCTCTGCCGGCGGCGGAGCGTCAGCTCTGCCAGGGGAAGGCCGGTCGCTCGCAGGGGCCAGCCAGCCTGAGGCCGCCCTGCCTGTCGGGGGGCCCCCGCCGCCTGCTGCGGGGCCGCGCCCCCCCCGGGCCGCCGCTCCC